CTCCCTTGCTGTCTTTGTCCCTGTTCTCTATGCCTTCTCATGCTGTGGGCTGCATTTAGTATGGGAGGATGCTGTTGGGATGGGAGGATGCTTGCTTGGGACGGGTGCTTGCTTATCTTCCCCATCATAGTGCCTGGTTTTCTACTATAAGAGAGAAATATACCACCAAATCCCTGGTCAAAATATTAATACATTTGGGAGAAACGACATTTGTAGCTATTCCCACTGAAATTTTAGTGGTAGGATCTTCACTGGGAAATGGGTAGAAGAAACTCATATAGTTCATTAAGGAATAGCAGACCCCCAGTCACAGTCTGGTCCATGGCTGGGCAACTCAGTCCACCAGGGAAGACCATACACTGCTGTCCTAGAAGACATCCAACTCTCTTTTTGGAAGCTGCAATGTGTTTCCACATTGTAGAATGCAAAGGTTTCTGTTCTCATTTCTAAGCCATTTTCTTAGGATTGTGTAGTTTCTTTAGGACAGTGCCCTTGCTCCTATTCTGGGATACTGGGTAATACTCTTGGGGTATGACAGTTGTATGGGATGGGGGTGATATGGAGAAACTTCACTGACATGCCTTTAAAGCATTGTATAGGCCCCTTGTTCACTCAAATCAGGATAGCTAAAGTGGCCGTGGGGTATTTCTGCTTGCAGTTTGGAGGAAAAACTCTAGTTTGATCTGCTGTATGTGGCCATTGGTTCTAACCTGTGGCCCCACAGACTTCTAGGCATCCTACTATATAAGAGATATTATCTAGTGGATTCCACCAAGTACCAGGCACCATTTTAGCTCTTTTTTTAAATTTTAAATTTAAATTGTTTTAAATTTTATTTTTGTACACCAAAATTTCCTTCTTTGTTTTTCCCCATATTTTTATTTGTACATTATAATTATACATCATTTTGGGATTCATTGCTACATATTCATACCTGCTCTAGATCTTCTTTAACTGAATCATCTTGAACAACTCAGTGTCATGGTATGCTTGTATATTTTCCAAAAATGGCACAATGATACTTTTGGACTCTTATGCCTCTGGCATCTCACTACTCCCCACAAGAGCTGGGGCCTATTTCTCCTCTTCCTTAAACTGGTGGGACTTTGTGACTTTTTAAAAAAATATTTTATTTTAGTTGTTAATGGACCTTTATTTATTTATTTATATTCAAGAATCAATCCCAGTGCCTCACAGCCTACACATGCTAGCTAAGGGTTCTACCACTGAGCTACAACTGAAGCCCGAATACGTGACTTTTTATGAGTGCATTATAGTTGTATATAATACATGTATACATGTCTGCATTTTTGCCCAGTTATTTCCTCAAATTACATCAGCAGGAGGGTGAATTGCTGTGTCAAAAAATATGAACATGGTTAAGACTTTTGATACATATTGTCAAATTTCCTCTTTTGAAAGAAAACTGTTTCAAAATTCATTCCCATCAGCAACGTTTGAAAGTGCTGGATCCCCCCCAAGGCGGTTTCCTTTTTCATTTTCACCAGTCTGGTAGGTGAAAAATGATATTTCAGTTGTTTACAACTCACTTTCTGTCTGAGAAGAGGGCCTTATCCTTTGTTGTATAGTCCATCTCATTCTTTCTACTGATATTTATTGAGAATGCATCTTTGGTGTGGTAGGCACGGGGCATGTTTCATTGGACAGTCCATGTGGCGCTCACTGCTTAGTTGGGTGTGTTTTGTCACTCAGCTTTACAGAACTAGAGAAAGAGCTGAAAGGGAACTGAGAGGTTATCTGATACCCTCATTTTAAGGAAGGGAAACTGAGGCCCAGGAGGTATGGGGACACTTGGTCACAAAGGACAGCATATTTATGTGGAATTATAACTCCGAAAGACAGAGATTCTGGGATTTCTACTTATTTTCATTAACCTTAGATCACAGGTTGGTCAAGTTCACTTCCAAACTAATATACAGCCTCTGTGTGCTGTGACTCAGGGGTAACCCCTTCAGACACAGTGTTGGTACTTGAGAACATATTCATGGAATGAATGTGGGTGTATAACAGATTAGAAAAAAAAAATGTACATTCGGTCAAAATGTGCTCAGTATCCCAGGAAGAGTGGCAGACTTCCATGGGGTGCCCCTTCTGGGAAGAAATACCTTTTTTTTTTTTTTTTGATGAAAAGAAAAAAATGAGTGGGCTTTTGGAATTGGTGGAGGAGGACAGATGGAGCTGCCTGGGGCTTGTGACATGTTTGGGGCTGTCTAGTCCCTGGAATTTCCCTTAGTTTGCTTGGTCCTCTTGGAGATGGACTGATAGAATCGGGCAGGGGATGGTGTGAGAGGAGAGTTTTTTTTTTTCTCTTCTCTGAGTGTTCCTGGATGAACTCGGTCCAACATCTCTAAAAATCCCAGGGGACAATTTCAGGTCACTGCTGTTATTCCCATTGTTCAGCTCATTCCCCTGCCTTGCTGTTTCACCAAAGAGTTTGCAGCTTTTACCTCCAGAATGGTGTCAGTGCGTCTCAGGCCTCTCCTGACTTAGGAGATAGCCCCATTAGTTCAGTTTGGGTCTGGTTTCACTTCTGATCATGGTGAGACCTTGGATATGTCACTGTCCTTGCCATGTCAACCATGGCACTGCCCTATTCAGGCTAGCAACATTGTTGTCTAGATATCTACAACAGCCTTTTTTTTTTTTTTTTGTATCAGGGATTGAACCCAGGTGCACTTAGCCACTGAGCCACATCCCCAGCCCTTTTGACATTTTATTTAGAAACAGGGTTTTGCTTAGTTGTTTAGGGCCTCACTAAGTTTCTGAGGCTGACTTTGAACTCATAATCCTCCTCCCTCAGCCTCCTGAGTCTCTGCAGTTACAGGCACATACCACCATGCCCAGCTTACAACAGGCTTTTAACTGACTTAACTATTTCCACTTGTCAATCAGTGCCCAATGCTGATGTGAACATGTTATCATTCATGTCCCTCGTCCACTTCAAACTCCTCAAAGTGTTTCCACAACCCTAGATAAATGTTTTAGTTAGCCTTTTTTGTTGTTGTTGTTGTTGTTGTTGCTGTGACTAAAAGACCTGACAAGAACAATTAGAGGAGGAAAAGTTTCTCATAGTTTTAGAGGTTTCCCTGGACGCGAGGTGAGGCAGAACATCATGGTAGAAGTGTGTGGCAGAGGAAAGTGGCTCAGGCCATCACACTAGGAAGCAGAGAGAGAGAAGGAGTTCTCCTCACCATGACAAAAGCCCCCAAAGCATGTCCCCAATGACCCCCCCTCCTCCAGGCACACCCTACTTGCCTGTAGTTACCACCCAGTTAATGCCTATGAGGGGATTAATGTACTGATTAGGTTAAGGTTTTCATAACTCAATTATTTCACCTTTAAACTTTCTTGCATTGTCTCACACATGAGCTTTGGGGGGACACTCCACATCTAAACCCTAAAAATGAGAGAACAAAGTCCCTTACTATTTCTGCCATGTCCGTGTGTTCATGTTCCTGTCCATATATCTTGTGCTTCCATCTTTTTGGAACATTGACCTTCTTTTTTTGTGGGGGGATCTACTTGGGATTGAACTCAGGGGCACTCCACCATTAAGCCACATCCCTGGCCCTGTTTTCTATTTTATTTAGAGATGGTCTCACTGAGTTACTTAGTGTCTTGCTTTTACTGAGGCTGGCTTTGAATTTGTGATCCTCCTGCCTCAGCCTCCCAAACTGCTGGGATTACAGGCATGCACCGGCCACGCTGATCTTCTTTAACCAGCTCTGTGGCCTTGAGCAAATGTCTTTTCCTCTCTGAACCTCAGTTTCCTCATTGTAAAATAGACATTATAATCCCAGTCATTCTGCTGGTTATAAGGAGAGCATCCATTTGAACTCACTCTCAGTCCTTCCAGACCCTCCGTGTCCAAAAGAAATGACAAATTCCAAAGACTCTGATTCTTAATAAACATTTTCTTCTAAAAAGATTTGTCTACCTTTATTCCAAATTCTGTTAATCCTGAAGGAAGCTATTTCTCTGTGGTTGTGTCATGTTAATGCCTTAACCTCAGCCAACAGTGTTCCTATGCAGAGAATGCATTTATTTTAGCCAGTTCACCAACAGGGGTTGTGTCATCACATACATTGTCAATTGACAATATGTTTGTGGAATTTGAAGCCTCATGCTTTATCTCTATCATCTCTTTTTCTCAGGGAGAATGGCACAATATACAAATAACATACTTTCTCACAAAGAGCCCTCCTTCAGTTTCACTTCCATAAAAAATGTTCCAGGAAAAAACAGGGGTCTGACCCCAGTGATTGATCAACTAAAGCATGTTCTTGGGTCATCCATCCATCATTTTCTTAACACATTTTTATTGATGGTCATGTCTGATAAGAAAAAATAGATGGATAAATATATAAAGGACCCACATGGAATAAATTTATGCACTTATAACTGAACTGAGGATACTGAGTATATTCATGTCACAAGTGGAATCCATGGCTACCTGCAGAGGATCAAAAATTGGCATGTTCTCAGTAGACCTGGATGGTCAGGAGGGGCTTCACTAAGGACATGAACATTCAGTGTCCCCAGGGTACCAATTAGATTTAAAGGAGTATCCCTTTTTATCAGGCAATATCATAACACACACACACACACACAATTTTGCCTAACTGAATCGGAAAGCACATGACCTTGATCCAGGAAGATGAATGATTTAGAGGTTGATTGCATTTTCATGTGATCTTTCTGGGGTGTGTATCATCATCATGAGAAAAAATATTCAAGTGTACTGACCTAGCTGTTTGCATATTGCTCCTTCTGGGCAATAAGTTTCGTTTACTCACAAAACCCTATGCAGTGTTCCTATGACCTGTTGAGGTCAGCACTGCAGGGAAACTGAGTCTCAGAGAGGTTTAGTCACTCTGCTGCGCAGGCAGAAGGTCATAGAACCCAGATTTTCTGCTGCAAAAGTCCAGAGCTGTTTCCAGTATGAAAGCATGTTCTCCTGTCTTTCTCCACCCTCCAAGGAGCACAAGAATGAAGACACAGCCTGAGAAAGATCCCAAGATGATGCAGCCTCCAAGAAGAATGTGAGAGTTGTTAAGTGTAAGCAGGCATGCAGACACAATGCCACGTGCATGTCCCAGGTCAGCCCATGTGACCTCATGTTCCTGCCTCTGGATGGAAACAGCAAATGTAAGCAGGCGAGTTTGTCAGTGGCAAGATCATTGCTCCAATGCATTCTTAGTCTTGATGCCAGAGCATGTTATGGACCCCAAGTTGGGGGTTCAAGCTGAGACTCCAGGACACTGGAGGTGTTTATGATTAATTTCCTACCCTGATTGCAGAGCAAGGCCATCTGGACTTGGATCTGTGTCTAAATAACTGTACCCAAACTGGAAAATTCAAATGGTGCTAAAACTCAGAATCCACTTCCCAGAGGTAGGAGTGGGTAATGGACAGGTCATTTCCAGGGCTGGATATCTTCCCCAGGGGGCCTAGTCCTGCTCAGAACTACAATGAGGAATATTTATTTCTCCCTCTTTTCCTTCCTACCTTCCATCCTTTTACATTTAATAAATACCTGAAAGATACCTACTCTACAGTGTCCTAAACCTTTGAAAGTACACGTTTATAGAATACCAACTCTACCTTCAGGATGTTTGCTACTCAGACAGATGGGACAATGTGTAAAAATACTGATTGCTGAGACTCCCTCTGTGATGGTTCATGGGTCAACTTGACTGGGCTACAGTTTGTGACCAAACATTATTCTGAATGTTTCTGTGAGTGTCTTTCTGGATGAGATTAACATGTCATTTAGTGGACTTTGAGGAAAGCAAATTGCCAGTCATAATGAGGGTGGGCCTCATCCAGTCACTTAATGCCTGAACAGAACAAGAATGACCCTCCTTGGGCAAGAAGGAACACTGCCTTGGATGGCCTTCTGACTTGAATTGCAACATTGGTTCCCAGAGAGGAGCTGTCAGTCCACCCTGCAAATTATGGGCATTCTAGCCTGCATAACGTACCAGCCAACTCATTATTTAAACCTCTTTCTCTACATATACACATCCAAGTGATTCTTTTTCTTTGGAGTACTCCAAGTCCTCCAATGTCACACCCTTCAAGGGTCTCTGTGCCGGTATCTCCTTCCCCAGCTTCCTAGTGGCTTCCAGGGTTCTCTTACTGAAGCACAGATCTGCAGATATTGTTCTGCTTACAGTTCTTCCATGCACCTACCTTCCCCACCACTGTCTCCCAAACCTCAGCTGTCCATGCTCCATCATCTTCATGATTGTTCTCAGACTTTCTCATTGATGAAACCCAAAGGAGTGAAATAGACTGAGAAAGAACTAATTTTTTTTCACTTTATTGTGTAACTAGATACTAAATTTGCATCTTGGGTACCATCTGGGAATGTATTCTTTCCCATGTTTGGGAGACATCTAGTTACAAAAAAAAAAATTAATTCTTCTTTGACATGGCCTCAGAGGCCCTTGTGCATTGATTAATTATTTATTAAATGCTGATAGGCACTGAACAATTCATCCCAGCCATGTGGAATTGTTTGTCCCTACCCCCTAAATGACACCTATATCCTGTACCTTTATTTTATGGTTTAGATATGAGCTGTCCCCTAAAGACTCATGTGTCAAAAACTTGATCCCCAGTGCAACAATGTTTAGAGGTGGGGCTTTGGGGAAGGACTGGAATCATGAGAGTTCTGACCTGATAGTGGATTAATCCATTTGTAGCTGAATGGATTACTGGGAGGTTGTGGAGGTAGGACCTAGTTGAAGGCGTGGGTCCTTGGGGCATGCTCTTGGGGATTGTGTCTTGTCCTTGGCTCCCTTTCCCTCTTTCTCTGCTCCCTTCTCTAATGAGCTGAGCAGCTTTCCTTCACCACATCCTTCTGACATGATATTCTTCAGCCTCATCTCAAGCCCAAAGCAATGTAGCCAGCCAACCATTGACTGAAACTTCTGATACCATAAGCCAAAATAAATCCTTCCTCCTCTAAATTGTTTACTTCAGATATTTTGGTCATAGTGATAAAAAGCTGACTACTACACAGTTTCTGCCTTTCTTCTGTGATTCCTGGAGGACTTGTTCTGACACCTTAAAATACAGCTGCCTTCTTTGAGAAACTGTCCTCCAAGTACTCTCCAGCACTTCATGCTCTCTCAGTATTAGTATTTATCATTGTTACACCAAAGGTAAGTGCTTTTTCTTTGTGGCTAGAGCTCAAGGGTTTGGGGACATGTTTTGTTTATTGTTGGGGGCTCTCAAAGGAGTCCCCCAGTAGTAACTACCTATCTTAACTACCTGGATTTTGCACACAATGAGAAATAAAAGAGGAACTAAGGAGCTCACTATCACTTTTTTTTTAATGGATAAAAGCTAAATTAGAGAACCTGGATGTTGCACAAGGCCATATGGTCCTTCTGAATTAATCCAAATTAGATGGTCATACAAAAACCACTCAAGACCAGTCACAGGGTAGAAGAGCTGAGAAGTGGCTCAGTTAATTTGCTCCTTGAAGGCTGTTCTCTTTCAGGAGAAATAAGGGCAAGCTGGGTTCTACAAGCCTGTTTTTTTCTTCCCACGCTACCAATCAATGGTTCTTAGAATCCCTCTTATCCACCCACAGAATGAGGCAAGGGGATTTCAGATAAACTCTCAGATGGCTTAAGCCATAAAAATTTAGAAAATCAGAAAGATGGGACCTCAGACATTAGTTATCAGGACTAACCCTCTCATTTCACATATGGGGAAACCAAGACCCAGGGAGAAGGGACTTACTTAAGTCACTTAATTCTCGCCTGAATAATCTGTAACTTCAACCTGTGGTTTGCATGACAGATACTATTGATAATTTGTGACACAATTCCCAAAGGCAAAAAAAAAAAAAAAGATAACTGTTGCTGCCCACTGTTTGGCAATGTTGCTAGAGCCTACAAATCCTATCCTGGAATCATGGCCCTGTAAGGCTCTGCCATTAGGATATCTTGGCACAGGACTATAATTGTGGATTCAGGAAACCCAGTCCTTGGCTAACCCAATTCTTTCCACATAATTAAAAGAGGGAGAAATGAAACGTCAAGAGGAAATATGCATTTAATCCACTTCAAAGAGCCTTGTTCATTTCTGGATTCTGGCTTTTCCCCCTCCTGCCTTAATTCCAGTCACTGTAAATTACTCCACAAAATGGTTTTGGAATAGAAAAGGCACAAGGAGGCAGAGAAGCAGTCTTTAATATTTCATCTTCTTTTACCATCATTTAGGATATTCATTCATGGTAAGGAGAAGGAAATTGCTTTTGGTCCACAGATGAGCAGAATCACTTTTAACGAAGATAGTTCTTTTTTTTTTTTTTTAGATTTCCACCTAAAACTATCTAAAGAATGAAGATCTCTCCTGGTGATGCTTGGAATAGAAGGTATTTCTAATTCCTTTTTAATGAGAATATGAACAAAATTATTCCAAAGCAAGGGCATGAGTTCCCTGGAAAAAAAAAGAAGAAGAAAGCACTGAAATGAATCTCAATTCAAGAAATATTAGTTAAATGCTTCTGTAACTCCATCATTGTCTCCTCAGGGGAAAACATTACTTTGCAAGCCTCCTATTTCAGTGAAAGGATCAGGAGCTTCTAAACCAAGAAAGGAAGAAACCGGGCGGGTTATTTACGAGTTCCATGCCTCTAGAGGTTTTAAACTACTGCGAAATAAACCAGTTCCTTAACACTCTTGGGACCAACAGCCCGCGAGCTAACGGAGCAAGCTAACCCCATCATCTGGGGTCTGCGCAGCCGGCCTCCCCCGCCCCCTAGCGGATTCATGTGGCAATGCATCCCGGACCCCAGCTTTAGAAAAGCCGGCCACCCGCACCCAGCGCTGCATCCCGACGCTGTCCTCCAGCATAGGCTTGGCGGCGCTCTTCGATTGCCTTCTGTTCCTATCCATCCACCAGTAAAGCTGCGAGCGAGAGTTTTCCAACCAAGGCTCCTGAATCCCAGACCTCAGCGAGTGACAAACTGGGTGCCTTCAGCTGCCCTCCCAACCTGGTCCCGGAGCTCACGCGTCTTTGAGTCCAGCGGTGCAACTTCCCCCGGGAGTCAACTTTAGGTCAACCCGAGGACTCGGTGCAGGTAGCTGGGTCTTGAGCGCGGGTGGACGGGATGACGAGGGCTAGTGTGGATATCTGGGTTTGAGAGGAGGTAATGGGGTGCTTCGCGCTTCTGGTTCCTGGAGGCGCACAGGGTGCTGCAGGAGGGTATAAAGTGACAGCTTGGGACCAAGACGCTTGTTGGAATCCTGAACCTTCGAGGCTACTGGGCTGAGGAGAAAAGTGTCTAGGTCAGAGGTCTGACTGACAGCGATTGGGCATCCTGGGAGATAGATTTTTAGGCAGGAGACCCCCTGGGAGGGACTGCTGGACCAGAGTTCTAGGCAAGCAGCCGTTATTGAAGTTCAGGCAATGATGGCTGAGCGTTTTAGAAACAGGAGATCAGAGGGGGATAGATCTGAGTGAGGCTTTCCAGGCAAGTGGCTGTTTGGGATCTCTGGGAGAAGTAAATGGATTAAGGTTTAATAGGAGAGGGGCTGATTTGGGGATCCCGCAGGAGGTGGCTGTGCTGAGGGTCCTGGGTGTGTAGTGTGTTTGGGGAGACCGAGACCGCTGGGGAAGGTGACTGGATTGGATATCCCAGTCCCGGAGGGAGCAAGGAAAGTGATTGATTATGGTCCTCCTCTCTCCACCAGTGGAAAAGGCTGAACCTCTCAAGAAACTGACACTTGGATAGAGGATTCCCGCTCATTTGCAGTGGCTGAAAGGAGGTACATCAACGGGGATTTCTGGGGTGGCGGCTGGGCAACCCTGTGGCGGGCAGTTGTGCCCCAAGTCTCAGGTGACTTGGAATCCCCAGGAAGGGAACAAGTGCTCCTGAACGCGCGTTGAGAGAAACGCGACAGTCCTCTCACCGCCTTGCTGGTTTGTTGCAGGGTCGGATTCCAGCGGAACAGTCCCCGCAGGACTCCAGGAGCGGAGCCCTAGGCGCTTTGCTCAGCGCTTTTGAATTGCGCTTCGGCCCCGCCCGGTAGCGCTACGCCTTAAAGGGCTCAAGGCCGGGCGCACCTAGGGCCACGGTCATGGAGGGCGCTTTCTCAGCCAACTGGAGCGCCGAGGCGGTCAATGGGAGCGCCGCACCTCCTGGGGCCGAAGACAACTGCACTGCCGGACCTCCGCGGCGCAACGAGGCACTGGCACGCGTGGAGGTGGCAGTACTGTGCCTCATTCTCTTCCTGGCACTGAGCGGCAACGCGTGCGTGCTGCTGGCACTGCGCACCACGCGCCACAAGCACTCACGCCTCTTTTTCTTCATGAAACACCTGAGTATCGCTGACTTGGTGGTAGCTGTGTTCCAGGTGCTGCCGCAGCTACTGTGGGATATCACCTTCCGTTTCTATGGGCCCGACCTGTTGTGCCGTCTAGTCAAGTACCTGCAGGTGGTGGGGATGTTCGCCTCCACCTACCTGCTGCTGCTCATGTCGCTTGACCGCTGCCTGGCCATCTGCCAGCCGCTGCGATCGCTGCGCCGGCGTACCGACCGCCTGGCGGTGCTTGCCACGTGGCTTGGCTGCCTAGTGGCCAGCGCCCCGCAGGTGCACATCTTCTCGCTGCGCGAGGTGGCTGAAGGCGTCTTTGATTGCTGGGCGGTCTTCATCCAGCCCTGGGGACCCAAGGCCTACGTCACGTGGATCACACTCGCCGTCTACATCGTGCCAGTCATCGTACTCGCTGCCTGTTACGGCCTCATCAGCTTCAAGATCTGGCAGAACTTGAGGCTCAAGACGGCTGCAGCAGCTGCGGCTCAGGCTCAGGGACCCGAGGGTTCAGCAGCGGGTAGTGAGGGTCGTGCGGCCCTGGCACGAGTCAGCAGTGTCAAGCTCATCTCCAAAGCCAAGATCCGCACGGTCAAGATGACCTTCATCATCGTGCTGGCCTTCATCGTATGCTGGACACCATTCTTCTTCGTGCAGATGTGGAGCGTCTGGGATACTAATGCACCCAAGGAAGGTAGAGCTGGGCGGAGACCTGAAGGAGGGAGCGTGGCAGGGGCCAAGTCATAGTCCTGCTGCCTCACTTCCAAGGTTCTTGGGTCCTTCTGGGGAATAAATGGGTTTGAGTCTCCAGCATCCCATGGCCAGTTGATTTTGGCCCAGTAACCTCCCTGGGCCACTCCTTCATCTTCTGTGAAATTGAAATAATGATAAAGTGCCAACTCTTACCAGGCAAAAGGGTAGTGAAATGAGAAAATCACATGAAGTCCAGAGTACAGGCCTGGGCTAGCCATGGCTGGTGGTTACTGAGGAGAAAACTAGGTTAGAGTAATCTTCCCCAGCCAGTGGTGGAGATAGATTTCCAACCTTGGCCCAAGTTCAAGCTCAAGCATCTTCTAAAATGGATGATGGTCTTGAATCCATGATAAGTTTGTGAAGGCAGCCTTAGGAGGTGAGCAGTTGTCTAGCCAAACTCCAGGAAGTTTGGGGTCCCCTGGGGAGGTGAGAACAACTTCTGGAACATCTCATCTAGTGGAGGTGATGCTTGCTTGGTGACATAGAGCGGTGACTCCCTCAGGGGGCACTAGGCAGATGCAAGACTGAGGTACCCAGAATGGAGACTTCCACTTAGGGGGATGGGGAGGAGGATGATCAGATTGGACTGGGAGGCTGCATGATTGTATATTGGAGAGCAGTCAAGCCTTGTACCTTGTAGGACAAACAAGGTTACATGACTTGACCTGTATTAGTTGGAAGTCCAGAAAGAAGTGGTTGAATGGGACTTCTGGGGAAGAGAGCTTTGGGAGACAGAGCACCCCCGGGGCTCTGTGGCTAATGCTGGGCAGCTATCCCCAAAGTACAGTGCTCCAGAGAGCTTCATCCTCACAGCTACTGATTTCAGTGGCGTTTTTGGGGAAAGAGCAGGAGCCCTGATCATTGGTGCCCAAAGACTTAAACCTTCTTGTTCAATGTTAAACCTGTGACTTAGAGGATAATACTTGTAGGTTAAGACCAGGGGATTTCCTTCTACCCTACCTATCCTCTAGGCAACACACTATCCTCTTTCTGGATAAAATAATTGCTTCTCCCAACAGTCTCATATATATCCATCCTGTGAAGTTGAAATCTCAGTGCCAGCTGCCTTCATTCAATTTGATAACTTTGCTTTGGTCCCTTGCAGAAACTACAGACAACTTGTTCCTTAGGAAGCCCTCCCAGATAGGAGGACACGAGTTATTCAAAATGTATTGAGTGTCTATGGCATGGTGTTTGGGGTGAGGATTGCTGTGAGGACACAATAAAACTATTCCTGACTCCCTGGTGCAGGCACTGGGCATGCCTTGCACAGGGTTCTGGGGCCCAGAAAGGAGGAGGTACTTGTACCCCGTCACACAGCAAGTTGGAGACAGAGCAGCAACTAGAGGTGGGGTTTTCTCACCAGGCCTTTTATCAGGGGCACCTGAATAGGGAGTTGGGGTACAAAACCCAGTGGTGGTTGTTTCTAAATAAGTCATCAGGGCACACCCATTTCCTTGGCAGGATTCAGAGACTAGATCCAAGTCTTAAGGAACTCCAACCCCAACTGCCGAGGGAGCAAATCTGGCACCCCTCAGAGCACATACTGGGAGACCTGGGCTCTAGTTCTTCCTCCTTTCCTACTAGCTGTGGGATATTGGGTGAGGGATCCCTTTATCCCTCTGGGCTCTTACTGTCTTGCATTTAGGATGAGAACATTTCAACATTTAGTTCGTTCATTCTGCAGGTATTCTGACTCTTGGAGTCAGGATTTGTGATTTTTCTCCTTCTTTATCCTCCCACTGCCCTCCTCAAATGGCTTTGTATTATTTGACTCCTTTTAATGTGCTCTTCTTTTTCACTTTCTTTCCTCCCTAAAGAACTAAAGTATATGGTCAACACACATGAAGTTTCTATCTTTTATATGCTGTAAAAGTACGTCAAAGTATTTATTTCTCTGTCTTAAAATGAGAGAAAATGAGAAAGAGTCTAAGTGCAGGCCAGAGGCCTTTGGGTCTCATGTAGTCTAAGGATTTCCCTGTGGGTGTGGCCCTCAGTAGAGAGCTACTAATCAAGCTCAAGGGACAGGGGAGAAGTGGACTTTTAGAATGTCCAATCCCATGTCCCTTTGTTCCTTTGCCTTTATCCACAAGAAAAGGCTTCTCTTGCTCCTCCTTGGCATTCTGTACTGGATGCCAAGAAGAGAAAAAAAGATGGAACAACCCTGGGGTGGGGGACTCATGATGCTGCTGTAGTCAGAACATACCCCACCCCAGCATGTGGCCAGGAGTAGTCCAGATGTGAGAGATTCCTGGGGTACAGAGGTGAGGATTTAGGTTCTAGCCACCAGCCTGGCCAAATCTTGCCTCCACCTCAGGGCTGCAAGTGTCTGAGTGGATATGGGCTGAGCCAGGAAGAACTCAGCCTTGATTTAAATAATTGCCAGTAGGGGATGGTGTTTGCAGCCAGATGAGAGACATGGCTCAATGAAAAATATCAGCAGGTATTAAGGAAGGTTTGAAAGAGAAGCCTGCTCAGGCTACTCAAGAGATTTTGTCTGGGAGATGGAATTAACACATAGTCCCCTTTCCTCCCCAAAAGGGACATAACTGATAAGAGATACAAAAATATCTGGACCCTTTGCTTGGCTCCCCCCAGGGGAGTTAGAATTGGAAGTTCAGAGAGCCCATTGCTACAGTGGGACCTCATGCATGAAGACCTGGGGGAGAAGCTTGGGGACTAGGAGCAATGATGCTGTTGCTCTGCTCACCAGTGTGTGCCCAGTGCCTGTAACAGGAATGGACACCCATTGATGGTACAACCAAAACTTGCTTGTCAAATAAGTGGAATAAGTGAGGAGGGGCTGCAGGAGATGGGATAGGAATGGGTGTGAAGAGCTGGACTCAGGAGGGAGAGGAACTTTCTAAGAAGCCCTTCAGAGATAGACCTGGCAACCCTGAGCGGAAGTGAGTGCTCTATCATAGCAATCAGCCAAACATCTGTCAGGGGCATAGGACCAGAAGGTGGAAATGCATGGGAGGCCTGGGTTTAAGTGCCTCCCCATCAGTAGGATGGACCTCCCAGCCCATCTCTGTTTCTGTGGACTTGTGGTCCCTCCAGTATGTGTGCCTTCCCTCCCACAGACATTCTGTCAATAGTACTGGGGACAGGTGCTTTGGAGTAGCTACCTCTTTGGATAATCTAGCCATGTGGAGAGCAGGTAGGGAGAGTGGGCAGCAAGAGTCAGACAGCTTCATTCTTGGCTATAAGGAGCTCTCCAGTGAGGCCCTTTGGTTAAAAATTGCCTTAGATGAACCATTAATAGCTAAACTCTTGTGTGATTCATCTGTGAGTTTTTTTCTGTCCTTGACTAAGGATAATGTTTTCCTTTAGAGTGTTCCAAGGTGACTCCTTTTTTTTTTAGAGAGAGAAAGAGAGAGAGAGAGAGAGAGA